GGGGGGGGGGGGGGGGGGGGGGGGGGGGGAGCCAGCGCTGCCGGGACACGACGGGGTTAAGCTGGGTCGGCCGCCATTTTGGATGGCGGGGAGGTGAGTCTCCGCACGCCGCAAGAGCCAACCACACACACACACACACACACACACAAATCAACCTAACAGATGGGGGTGAGGAGAGAAACGCGGTCACCTTCCGGGACCGCGGAGTGGCCGGGGGTGGTGGGGGTGGAACGGAACAGCCCCACGACCGCGGCCGCCCCCATCCCCTCGGGCTGTGGCGGTCCCCGCGCGCGGGGGCGGGGCCGGAGCCATGGAGGGGCGGTGGCGATTGGTGGTGGGGCCGAGCGCGCGGGAGGGGGCGGGGCCGGGCTGGGCCGGGCCGGGCGCGCTGCGGCGGAGCGGGGGGGGCGGAGCCGCGGCCCTCCCGTTCCTGCGGGCGGGTCGGCCCCGCGGCAGCCGCAGAGCCCTCAGCCGCCTCCGTAGTTCTTACGAGAGGTTGTTTTGCGTTTTGCTGCTCTCTCGTGCGTGTTTTTGTTTAGAATGATAGCAAAAACCTTGAGTTTAGGTTGAGGGACTCAAAACCCTTGAGTTTAGGTTTAAGATTCCTGTTGCAGTGTCTTTGTTTCAGAGCTGAGGTTTCAGGGAGGGGGGAGAAAAAAATCAATCCACAGCAAATATCTAAAGAGTTGGCAGGGTGGAAGATGAGCTTGCTGAAAGGCCAAATACTCTCACGCGCCCTCAGAATGGTGCTGTTGCATGTGCGTGCAGGAGTGGATGATACGAGGCAAATGTACAGATATATAAAACCTGACACAAGTCCAGTATGTAGAACACATGTTTCACATTTTGGTTACATATGTTTTGGGTTTAGATTTGAACAAAAGGCAGGTCAGCCGGTTGCTACCCTTCATTTTTTCATTGTAATGAACAGGAAGCTTGCCTGTCTACTCAAGGGTAACTGGTTTCCTACTCTTTCTTTGTAAGCTGTTTATTTTCTCTAGCTCACATCTGTTTCCATCCTTAAACTCATTTTATGCTAATAGAAAAAAAATCCCAACTACCTACCCATCAAGAAGTCTTGCGTCACAGAAGTCACTGGTTGAAATAGGGTTGAAATCCAAGCTATTTTCATTGCATCTAAAGAATAGCTGAGTTGCAACTTTAATTTTTGACAGTTGTTTACATTTGCAAAGCTAATATTTAGAAAACCTTTGGAACTGCAAGAATACCCTTATGAATACTTAGATTTCACAAAAGCTAATAAATCACTAGAAGCTTACTGGTGAAGCTTGTTAACAAACAGCATCTCCAACTATTGTTATTTGAATACATTTTCTACTGCTGCTTCACTAGTACATTTCCCTAATTTTCCGTAGGACTTGGTAGGGACAGTAGCAGTTCTTGTGTTGCTGCATTCTATACTCTGTTTTCTTTCTATTCATATGATCATCTTGACTTCCTGAGCATTGTGTCTTCCCACCACTGTGTGTTTCACTGAGGGCTTAATGTCTTTGAGCAGTGGCACTTCTGCTCTGGTGCCCCTTCCTGCGTAGCTGAAGATACATCAGCAGTCCACTTATGTGTTAGGGGATACCAGTACACTACTGTCTGTTGTCATACACATAGGCAGGAGAACAGGATGTGTATTAGCCCCTCAGCTGGGTTGATGTTCAAAGACGTTTAAGCTACTGTTGGATTCTGGCTTCTCCTAAATGACGGGTGTCTTAGGTGTAGGCACAAGTTCATACCTGGTAGTCCTGCTGAAGAGAAAGCAATTGCCCACAGCAGAATGATGTAGAAAGATTAAATAACTAACTTTTTAGGAGCATAAAGCAAGATTCACTAAAGCACATCATTCAGAGTCTTCTATTTAATTACAAAAATTTTTATATTGTTTATTAAATCAGAAAGAACCATGCTTTGAATTAGGAAGAGCTTGTGCAAACAGAAGGCAGCAGAACTGAGATAAGAACAGTTGCTACCTAACCTAGAGCCAGTTTCTTATTCATATGAGATATTGATTTCTGAAAGTATTGAATGTTACTCTCAGAAAAAAAAAAGAAAAAGTGACTTTCCTTTTTGATGTAAATAGCTTAATCCAAGTGGTAGTCTTATAGCCATGCAGACATTTTTGTGGAACTCACATGCTTTCTGAGCTGTGTGCCTTTTCGGTTTCCTTTCATTTCTTACAGCTCACTTCTGCTTTCATAGTCATCTTGCAGTCAAGTCAATAAATTAGTCTGCAGGGTCTCACCACCATAAGACTGTATTTTCAGAGAAGGTTTGAGTCAGCACTGTCACAGGAGGTCCCCTGCTTCTTCCTCATGTCAGTGCAAGCATTTGAATATCTGCACAAGAAACTCGATTTGGAAACTGAGCCAGGTAAAAGTGATCCCACTAAAAGCTGTGAGTTAGTTTTGACTTAGATCAGGTCCTCCTCAATCTGCCTCGTTATGTAGGGGTGTGAAAACCTGTGCTTGCCCAGAGAAGGAGGCAGTGCAGGGGCTGAGTTGGATCAGCAGGAATAAAAGGAGAACACTTCTTCCAGAAGTCTTGGCTTGTGGTAGCTGAAGTTGCTGAAGTCTGCAAATCAGTTTAACCCTTACAGTAGATGAGACACACAAAGCTTGTTTCTGGATTTCCTGCATATCAAACTGTGTGTCAGTGTTCGTCCTTAGCAGTTGTTTTATGTGTTGTTCATACAAATGTGCATATGCATGTATGATACATAAATTTTCTTGTAGTTCACACTCCCATTACCTGAAAATTCTGCCGTCCTACAATATCAGTAATTGCAAAAGGAAACATGCTATTTAGAGAGCACTACCACCCATTTTCCCTGGTACCTCCAAACACTGTATGTTCTCTCTCTGAGGTTTCATCCAGTTTTCTGTTATAAAGCAAGTCACCCCTTTCTCTGTTCATGCAGTTGCTAAGCAGCAGCTTTTCTCCCCATTAGCCAGCCATGTATTTGCATGAAAAGAATCAAGCTTGAATATATAACTGGTTTTAATCATGCACAGCTAAACAGCTGTACAATCAAAATTTGCATATTAATAGTATTAGTTATAACCATAACTGATGACTGTCTTTTAAATTAGAATTTCTCTATAGAGTAAAATCAATATAGGTTTGCCTTTTTATTTTTTTTCTAACAAAAGCATGACCATTTCTGTTTTTCCTTAATGTTTACTGTGTAGCTACTTTAAAAAAAATGATCACAAAATTATATCACAGTTCACAGAAAAATTATAAATGCAAATATGAGCAGACACAGGATCATCTAGTGACTAAAGGTGATAGGGGCCAAGGGAAGAGCCACATTTTTCAAATATCTAATTATAGTAGCAGAGTGCGACAGAATTTGATGATAAAAGTTTAGACTATGACACAAAGGTAAAATTTCTAAAAGTACATCTTACCTTCAAAGCTAACTAAAGTATCCGTGTTTCAATTCTTATTGATTTCAAGGATGTTTGGTATTTCTGGGGTATTTTCAGGGCAGTCACACATTTAACCAACAGCATTACACCAACAGTGTCTTGTCACTAGAAACTTGATGGCAAAACCAACCTAGTTCTCAGTTATGAAAATATGAGAAGTATCAAGGCAGTCTTTTAGCTGAGACTCTTAATAAACCTATCAGGGCAAGAATGGTGCCATGCGATTGGAAAGTAACAAATGTCTTTGAAGGAGAGCCCGTGGAAGTGTTGCATGCATTGTATGGGACGTATGAAGCAAATTGTAACGTAGGGTGGGCAAAGGCATAGAAGTAAAAAAAGAAACATATCCTTGGTGTAGTAACGTTAGATTTGTTCGGAAAACTATGTAATTTTTTTAATAAAATAATTTATTGACAAAGGAAATTAAGTCAATTTCACAGAATCACTGAATTGTCAAGGTTGGAAGAGACCTTCAAGGTCAGCTAGTCCAACCATCATTCTAGCACCACCACAATCAAATTTAATCTTTACTTTATAAAATGATTCAGTATAATAGCGTATGAGAAATGAGGATGCATAACATAAGAAAATTGCTGATGGGAAATTATGGTGGATTGTTTTGAAAGAAGGACTATAAAACTGGAAGTTGACTATAGGTAGAGTGTCCTTATTTAATGTCTTAAGTGCAGTCCTACTCATCATATAAATAAAAGTTACTAGTAACCTTAAGCTTGAAGGAGAACAGCATTTTATACAAGATCCATAACTTTGGAGTTAAGGAAGAATAAAGAATATCTAAGCCTAAGAACAGTGTCAGTGTAGAATGATGAGATATAAAGTGGGCATTAACTTGCCATTAAAGAAGGTTTCTAGCCAATAGAGGAATTAATTTATTCTCTCAGTGAAAATAGCAGGGCAGAGCATTCAGCAAGTTTTAATATGGAGATTGATGAGATTATGAAAGGAGTTTTCTCATGTTTGCTGGTAATCGCATCTGACTGCACCTGATTATCAAAATTCTAGAAGGATTGCATGTAGATCCCTGAACATTTCAATAGTGGGTTCCTCTAGTCGATGCAGATAGTTTAGCCATTAGGATAAATAAGTTGTCATCATCATGGTACAAACCACATTGTATACCATAGATATTGCACAGGTTTCTGTTTCAGAAAATCTTGACTGTAGTGCAAAATACAACCCTTTTACAACATGCATTGTGGCCTCGTGTATGTTCATATCTGTAAATGAGTTATGTATACAAATTCACATACATAATGTTTATATGAAAATGTAAATCACCTTTGACCATTTTTGTTCCCTGGGTTCTATTTGCGTTTAGCAACTTATATTTCAAACAGAAGCTTTGATTGAAAGTTACTCAATTTTTTTTTTTATTGGTTTTTGTATTTTTAAGTAATGATTTTTTTTTTCCCAACGTTTTCAGGTCTTACTGTTGCCTTGGATCAGAAAAGCTGCCACTGAATGCGTATACAGGAAAACACATAAGTATTCAAGAAAACTGTATAATTTGAAATGTAAAAATTAATAAATAATTAAATGTATAACATTGAAAAACTATACCATTTTTTTAAAAAATTTTGAGAAAGTGTATTTAATTGAGAAACAACATATGTAACATGTAAGAAAAGG